AGACGCAGCTCTCCTCTATGGGGTTAACTTCCACATTGACTACGTGCCCTGCCCACTGGTTTCTTGATCTCTGACACATTTGGATTTCTTTCAGGCCTTCTACCCTTCCATTAAGACTCTTCTATTGGAGTCACTCAGTTCTGTTCACGTTTGAACCCTTTTCACAGCAGAAGCCCACGTGACAGGCTAAAAACCACTCAAACTCCTCCACAACTTCCTTGGCTCTAACTAGGACCCTTTCCAGTTTAGCCTGGGACAAGCAGGCAGCCACGACTCTCCAGTCAAGTTGGTCAATGGTTAAAAGCTACCAAGTCCCAGTCAGCTGCTGCTGTTCTCTGAATAATACCATAATCCTCTTGTTCAGGCTGTGAGCCTGAGCGCAGGCAGCCCAAAATAGAAGTGGTAGAAGAATGAGAGAATTGAGTCCATGCCATGCGATAAGCATATTTCTTCAGGGATAATTATGGTGAAACAGAAAAACGCAATACTGCTTCTTTTTTCCCCCCTCATTTTAGTCACTCAGAGGAATGAAGGTGAATTCAAATCTGCCCTAACGCAACAACCAAGCAGCTCCCCAACACCCCCAAAGCAAAGGTTTGCCTGAAGTTTTTCCCTTTTGTCACTAGAAGTTTTTTGCAAAGTCCTTAATTTATTCTCTGGTTTCTCCCATATGCACCTCAGCAGCTCTGAGAACGAAAAAGGCAGTTTTCTGTAGCACAGTAGCAATTGCTGAAACAGCTCTCAGCATGGAGTTCATTGAAATGCAGACCAACTCGAGCACTTTCTTTTACCTTCAGCTGAACAGAAAGGGAAATGGCTTCTACTAGCTGATTGACCTTTCTGCTGAATAGGTTGTCTTGCTCCAAAGCTATGATCCGTGACCCCGAGGTGGAGTGGCATGGAAAGCCATGGATAATTATAACCCAACAGAACCATCGTTGCTAAAACAAGAGGGTATTCGAATAGCTGGTGCTGGTTTCCTATTTAAAGCGGCAAGCAATATTCACAGTAACCGATCCTTCCCATCTTTCTCCTCCTTGTCGTCCAAGGAGGAGGGCATGGATGCAAATGGCAGATTTCTTTAATTAGAACAAGGGGTAAACTGGGGAGACAGAAGGAGACTGAACAAGCCTGGCTCTCAGGGGAAGAGATTATTTTAATGAGACCTAATTCTATTACATGAAAGATGATGAACAATCGATGTGCAATCATGCTGACAGGATGTGGTTCGAGATTTTAGACTTTGGTATGCATGAAAAACCAGAGTTTTCTACACCTAGTGGAGAGAGAGCAAATATGAAAGAAAAGATAAAAGGAGCTGGGTCCTTATATAGGGTAATTGGCACAATTTGACTGTTTTCTGATTAATACCAGTGAAAGACATGGCCGAGAGTGTTAACCTGCCTGTTGCTTACCGATGACTGTTGAAATCAAGCATCATGCTTCCAAACACACTTGTTACATGAACCTCCACCAGCACACCTACAAAAGGCTGTTAATTAAATTCATTGTCTCCGGTAAACGGAACCCTAAGGGCTCCCAGAGGTAACACACATCTTGGCACAGAAACAACACAACTGACAGGAGCATCTGCCTTGCAGAAAATTACAGCACACACATAGTGACATTAAACAACAGAGAAGCAGCCAAGTCTCTTTGTTCCTTCCTAAACAGGGGCAAAGCATCAGTCACCAGCCCCTGGCTCATCTCTGGACCAGGCTAAGTTCTGGAGCAAGTTTTGCAGGCCCTGAGGCTTAGGATCAGGTTTGCAGCCTGCACAGAAAAATCTCACTCTGGCTGTAGCTCCAGTGAACCTTACTGGCATTTTTTGTCACGATCTCCATTCCTTCTGCCACATGCTGGGTATTTCTAGTCAAGTCAAGTCAAGTCTTCCAGTATCTGAAGGGGGCCTATAGGGATGCTGGGGAGGGACTCTTCATTAGGGACCGTAATGATAGGACAATGGGTAACAGGTTCAAACTTAAACAGGGGAAGTTCAGATTGGATATAAGGAGGAAATTCTTCCCTGTGAGGGTGGTGAGGCACTGGAATGGGTTGCCCAGGGAGGTTGTGAATGCTCCATCCCTGGCAGTGTTCGAGACCAGGTTGGACAAAGCCTTGGGTGATTTGGTTTAGCGTGAGGTGTCCCTGCCCATGGCAGGGGGGTTGGAACTGGATGATCTTAAGGTCCTTTCCAACCCTAGCTATTCTATGATTCTAAGTGTACAATAGCATATAGCTGCATAGCCTTATATTACATGCTTAGGCAACTACTTGTGAAAGCACATCCTCTATTTGTGCATGCCTGCTAGTTGTATGTACATTCATGTGGGTCACGCTCTCAAAAAGAAGGTTTTCATGTGTCTAGCTTGAAGATTTCTGCACACAACAGCCTCCTGTTCTGTCACATTAGTCCTCAGAATCAATTTTTGCTTTAGAAGCTAATGAGGCCATTTTTAACAAGGTGAACTCAATCACACCCATGGAAAGGGACTTAACAGCCTGATGATTTCCACCAAATCGACTAAAACAAGGCATAACTTTCTCCTCAGCTATTTACAACAATTGCTGGATGAGCTCTAACTGAATAAATCAGATGAACCCCAGCCTCTTCAGTGAAGCTTTGCCGATATTTGGAAGCTGAAGATCATGCTCAGAGACCTTGGGAAGGTCATTCTACAGACTTTCTAGAAGGATCCTGTCTCCTTTATCTTGCACAAGGTCTCGTATCCCAAGGGATGTATTAATGTTCTTTCTTACATGCTGCCCACAAGCTTCTCACAATTTGTTTCATTTTCTTTTTATCTACCTCTGACAAAAGCAGACATAAAATAGTACAAACCCATCTTACCAGCATTTTAACACTTAGATGGTCTCAGTTACTGCATAAAGGCCAAAGAAGAAAGCTGCCCTGACCTCAAAGTTAATATCATTTGAGCTTTTTACATCGATCATTTCATATTTATTACTACATTCCTTTATGATACAGGCACACACAAACCTCCCTACAACTCCATTGCTGCGGTGGAAATTTCACTCTAATAATGAGATGCCCAAGTGCAAACAGCTGATTATTTTTAGCTTAAGAAGCAAGAGGACAAGCAATAAAAGAGCAGGAAAAGTGCATCATGAAATGTACTTTGTTCATTTGACAACTGCAGTTTAGTTATAATTAATTATGATAATACTTTATAGCATAGCAGTTAACGCTCTGTAGTATAATTTGCTAAAGCCTCAGTAACATGAAGCATCCCCTCCAGCCGTATGCTGCTAAACCTTTACTATGTGCTAGGGAAAAGGCTGACATTTTGGGGGTGAATATTACGGAATAAGGGTAGAAATTACAAGTTTGCTTTGGGAGATCTGTCAGGGTTACATACACAGAGACAGGGGCTGTAGCAGCTTTACATTTGATTTCTAAGAGAGATATAAGAGCTTGCAGAGATCACTGACACCGTATAGAAAGAGCCTTCTGTTGTCATTTCTCTAACCTTGCAATACTCTCCTGACAGCATCCTTCCTCCGCTGATGTCATTTTAAGATGAAACCCTCATCTTTTCAGGTACCCAGGCCTACAGAGAAGGGGTAAGAAAGCTTCTCTGAAGCACTTCTATTTTGCCCTAATAGTTTTCTGGATGGCAGCTCAGCAGGGAGGCAAGGCACACAACAGGCCACAGTCGGAGCGAATCCTCTCCATCTTCCAGAGCACTGGTGATTAACCACTTCTTGGAAAGAAGTGACACAGAGACATGAATAAAGAGATGCTGGCTGCTAGACTAAAAGTGCAAGTGGAAATTACTCATAAGCCATGGGATTCAGAGAAATCCGTGATTGGTAACCGAGCATATAATAACTGTATCACCAGAGGAGCTCCCCGAGTGCCCATCTCTCCTCCTCCTCGCACCGCTGCAGGCACCCATGGTGCCTGTCAGCTGCTGCGCTGAAGCTGAGGGAAAGCGATCGGGATCTGGATGGAGACTGACATCTCCCCTTTTAGGCAGTGAGGTGGTCTCTTGCATGATATTATTTTTACCTACTGCTAAATGCAACCACTGTTGCATTTTGTAAAGTCACCTAAAGTTGGAAAAGACCCCCAGACATCACCTAATCCATCCTATTGCTCAGAGCAGGACAACTACCACCAAAAGATCAGGCCAGCTATGGCTCTGTATCTCTCAAACCTTCCCAACAGTGCACCTTGAAGTAGCAAACTTCAGTCTTGCACTGCCTTGATAGCAAAGTTTTCCCTAATGGATTCAGCTTGCCTGGAAAGCCTAGGAGAGATTCTTATGTAAAGAGACCTTTAAAAGTCCAAACTGAGCATTCTTACTGTATAGTGCTTAGTACGAAACACTAGCTGTTGTTTTCAGGACCATAGTAAGAAGCAGAATCCCTTCAGACTGCTTAAGTTTGAGTGGCTTCATGTTCTTCCTCTGCAACACACTCCCTCGTGCCTTCCTTCTCTTGCCCAAAATCTCCTACTATGTAACCGCTATAGTAGTCATTAAGGAGGACCCAACCTCCCTCTGATCCTTAAGCTGTTCCCATAGCATAGGTAATAATAAATATAGGCAGATTTCAGTATAGAAGAATTATCAGGTTTCAGTGGCTGTAACAATATCTGAATTATCAGGTGAAAGCCTTATGGAAAAGCAATTAGGTAATAACAGACTTGTATCAGAGTCATCTTTTCACACTGCACTGCAAAATCAGGACCCAAAATGAATTTGATTGGATTAAATAAAAGAACCAATCTAGCCTCCTCATGATCTCCTACACAGAACTGAAGCTTTAGAGAGACCTGAAAAAGCAATCATAACGTTTTGTTTCAAGATTTCCTTCATTCCTTCCCAATCTTAGGATAAGAAAACGAAATAGGAATCACCTCTGTCCACCTTCTCTCCCAGACACTTTCTGCTTTATTGCATTTTTCAGGAACTTATCAGAAGAATCTCCAGACCCAAAATCTCACCAATAAATGAACAAGGTGAAAAACTGACCTCGTTGCTGCCACTGATGTTTCAGAATGCAAGTGTGGAGGAGTTTGTGTTGCTTGTCCATTCCCAGACTGCCTGGAGCTTTACAGATGACACAGTTGATTCAGGGTGTATTCTGTATCCAGCAATCTGAATAAAGCAAAGGCAACCAGCAGCCCATGAGAGCCACCTGATTTACCACAGCTGTAAAACAGATACCATCTACAGCAGTCCCATAACAGAGTAATGCTAAATTCTTCATTTTGCACCGTATTTTCTGCTCTTTTTCCTTTGTAGGATGCCTTTTATTCAGCTTCCTGTATCTTCAAGAGGGGTGCTTCACCTCCTGGAAAACAAAGGAAGAGCTGTTAGGAAAAGGCAGAAAGGTAGTACAGACAGACAGAGGAGTTTCCTATGTAGGCTAGGGGAAGATGAGAGAGCAAGGGTTAACAGGAGGTAAACTGCACAAGGTCTTCAAGTCAGCAACAAACCTACCAATACTCAGTGATTGTCCTGGGATCTGGAGAAAATTGCCATCATTTTAAGGAAGAACATTAAAAAAAATAGAGAAAAAGAACGTTCCCCCCCCTTTCTGTCCCATCTGAATCTATCTTGATTCCTCCCCTTACATCAGCAATCTAATGACTGATTCTGGTTGAAACCAACCAAACAAAAAGGCATTCTCTGTTGGTTTTGGGGAAGGGATGCGACATGCAAACAGCCAGACTGCTCTTTAAGTGGCCAATGGGCAGACTGGGAGCTGAAAACACAACTGAAAGCAAAACAACTGAATTGTACAGACCCACCACTAAATTTCCTAGCAAAGGCAGGAAAGCATGAAAGCAATGGGAAGGAGTTCCAGATCACATGCAGGACAGCACTGGAGGTTCAATGTGATAAATTTAGGCAAGCCAAAAGGTTTGCCAACTTAGTTTACATTTTTACTCTGGTCCCTTTGCTCCTTTTATTTCCTATGCACCTGTGATGATTAATATCCGAAGGTATTATTGCACTCCCGATACTCAAACCAAGCAATTTCAGAACCTGGAGTAAGCGCTGACAAAAAGGAAGGGTAGGTGGTGAGGTCAAGCTCTCTCGCACATCCAAGCTCTTTTTCTATTGACATTAATACAGGGAAGAGCTGAACGCACAGGGAACACACAGGAAATGTCATCTTTGTTCATAGACTTTTGTATTAAAGATAAGACCTGAATATTTATCTTCCCTTCCAGCCACTTAACTCCACCAGTCCATTAGCTCGGGGGCAGTCATGTTTGACTTTGGAGAGTAATGACAACCGCTATGCCTTCAGGATCCCAAACATCTACCAACCCTTTCAGGTGCCTCTTCTCCTTTCCTTCCTTAACTGAAGGTGTGAACATGCTGCAGAACTGAGAATCAAAGGGAAGAAAAAGAACCAATATTTTTTTTCTTTAAGCTTGAGGAAAAAAAAAAACCCAACCAAATAGTTCAGCAAACATTATTTAAACTAAGGGTTTTATAAAGTGACTTCTGCCCCTTTTCTAAACTGTTTATTCTCTCCTCTCTCCTTACTTTTCTGCCACTGACTGACAGCTCCCTGATAATAGATTCTCTCAGTTGGTAGGCATGTTTTATGATGTTTCATTCATGGCACTGCGAACAAGAGGGTCCCTCTGTACCTCCTCCCGTTTCTCTCCCTTTCCAATTGCCTCTAAGAATGATAGCAGCAAAGAGTGCAGAAATCAAAGGAAGTGCCTTCACATGCACCGTGTTCGTGCAGTAGCAATAAAGTGCCTGTTTCCTAACCTGCAATGAATGCTTCCACACAGGAAAAACAGAGCAGGAAACTCAGATTAATGCAGAGGACAAGTAATTATTTTGCTCTAAGTATGCGATGTGCTTCTCAACACACTCAGTGTGGCCGTACTTGGCACCACCAGCCCTGTGGTACCCCAACATGGACCTGCAGCTCCAGAACAGTGGCACCTCTAGAGCAGAACAGCTCATGTTAAAAGCTTATTGTATTATTTCTTAGGCAACCCAAGGGATCTGACCACTCAAATGGCAGATGAATTCAAAACTGATGGGAGATGAGAAGATAACCACGGAGTCAAACCGCTTTTGAGTGAAAACAGCAATTCCTTTTCAGCCTTGATCTCAATAAAATACTTTCCCTTTGTTGTGCAATCAGAACCTAAGACGCAAATTCAAAAGAGGCTCAAAATAAGTCCGTATTTTCTGCAAGAGCATTTTGCACAAACACTGTGTTTTCCATGTTTACTTTGTTTGCCAAAATTAGACGTGAAAGCCAGAGCAGCAGGATGGGAGACACTCCCTTGGTTAGAATGACTTCCACTTTTCCTTGGGGTTTCTTACTGACAGTGTAAATTTGGGGCTTGTTAACACATTACAAGACATCAAGCATCACACAGCTTTTAGGTTTTCAATCTGCTTGTTTCTGTTGCTTAGTTGTGGTGATGGTTTAAATCGGAGGAGGAGGGGGAAGCCTTTGTAGTGGAAATGCTGGCTGCCTGTCTGCGCTGGTTTTGCTTTCAGTTTCTGAAAAAGGGAAAGAAAGGTCCTTTCTAAATAAGGGGAAGTCACCACCACCATCAGGCTTGGAAGCTGGCGCTGCAGAGGGGCTCATCATTTGATTCAGCAAAATCTCTAGTAACAAAGCAAAGAGGGAGGGTTGCGTTTACTCTGCTAATCCTAACTTCCAGGTTCAGCTCCCTGCTTCGATAAAGAACCCAATGAGGTATTTCAGGTAGCAACTTTGAACCACCTCTTTAAATAGATTAAGCTTCTAAATGTCTCAGTAGAAATTAGGCACCTAAATGTCTTCGAGGATCAGAGCCTGGTCTACAGCCAGATAAGATTTGCAGGAGGATTTCTGTGCCTTAGGCTGTGGATAGTGTCTGATGAGACTCACAACAGACACATTGCAAGCTGCCCAAACCCAGCTTGGCACTGTAGCTTCCCATCAGAAAAATTGGAGATAATAACACTCTCTTGTCTTACCAGGGTGGAGGGAGGAGAAAGACATTAAAGATGGTGTGATGCTCACCTAATACAGCCCTAGGGAGCAGTTAAGTGAGATTTTTCTCAAGTATTTTAACAGAACAGCTCTACTGACTTCACTGGTGAAATGGAGCCAATTTGCACAGCCCAAGGATCTAGCTCTTGATGCTTCTCTAAAGCTTCTAGGACTACAAATGAAGGCTGCAGGTATCACAGGCACATCCTGCTGTTTGCTGCTACGTAGAGCGGCACATAAGCAGGTGTAATAGCAGTGTGAAGTTTCTGGTGACACTGCCCTCAAGGTAGGTAGCGTGTAATGTGCATTTCCTTGCTGGCAACGCATAACAATGAGTAATAATTCTTCTGCTCGTGGTCCGGGTGGGAACTGCAAGGTGCAGAAGCCCTCGCAGGGTGGAAGGAGTCATAGAGAACTTGCTCTGGAAGTAGGTTCAGCTCCAGCCTCACTTCTGTTGTTAGAGCAGTTTTTCCTCCACATGATCTGGCACATCACAGCATCAAGAGAGCTGTACAAGACCTTGGAGTTCACTGTGCATCTCAAATGCAGTCAGATTCCTGACTCTTCTTGCCCTGCCCTTCAATCAGAATCTGCAGCCTCTCCGTGATCCCCAATCGAGTCAAACGTTCTCTTTTCAATGTCTCACAATAGGTTGACTCAATTTTCATCACCTTCCCCCTCTACAAAGCCCAAGGTTCCAGACTGTCAGGTTTCCCCCAACTGTGTATTTGCCTCTATCTTGGTAAGCTGAACCAGTAGCCTGCATACCAATGTGTCTCTTCCCAGTGCTTCCTACTTTCAGATTCCACCAAGATCTCCACTGAAGATTTCCTAGTGCCTACAATAGATTCATTCCTGACGGACACACAACTGCCAGAGAAATCATGCCCATCCCGGACTTGCAGCACTCCAATGTGACCTGTGGGTATGACCAACACTTCCCTCTGCACAAGAAATAATCTTTCTTGGTCATTTACAGCAACACTCTTACTGCTCACCAAGCCTTTATACAATCAGCAGCTAGGCTTTTTTTAATGGTGGGTATAGTTAAACCTTCAAGAGGAGAAAGCAAGAACAACCCTCGAGTCTTGCAGTTAGAAACCAACATAAGAAATCTGACTTGCAGCTATGTTCACATTCAGAAAGATCTGACGATAAATCCCACAGGTTATAACGAATAACTTTAATCCCTCTACAAGGGAAAAGAGAAGACGGGCAGATACAAATAGGATGAAATGCTGGACATCAGTTTGGACTGAACAGAGCATATCTGCAAAATGTCACTGCCAGTCGGCACACTTAGCCAACTGTGAGGCATTAAACTGATGCCTGATGCAGGACTGAACACAAATGGCATGCTCAAAGCTGGGACTAGCAGGGGACATATTCTCCAGGTGGCAAAGAGCAGGTTGCTCTGGCTAATTACTAGGTAATCAGGTCCACTATAGTAGTTTTCTGAGCAGTAACCAATTTACCCTGCATAGGTTTCCCCTGAGGTATCTCCTGCTCATATTGGATATTTCTTGATTGAGGGTTTTTCAGTTTGGTAAAGTAAAAGCACCTACTGTGTCAGCTTATAAAAAAAGAAGTCTGAAATAGCATCAAATGCCCAGCATGTGGTTGGTGGTTGCAGGGGAAAAAAGGAAGTCCATTCCAACGCAAGCATGGAATGGACTTCAGAGGAATCATTGAAAGCCTAACTATGAAAAACCCACTCTGACCCCTTTCTGGCAAAGCCTGTTGTGACAGCTGCAACTCCGGAGTAGTCTTCCATGCCCAGAGAGGTATGGCTTGGAATAATCCATCATAATTTTGCATTTAGACGCAGAAAACTTGTTTAAAAATGCACAAAATCAACCAGTGCAAAAGTGACAGTTGGGGAAAAACCAGCTCATTTGATATATTTCCAGAGAGCGTTGGAAAGTTCTGCCCCAGCCAGAGGAACTTCATACCACTGTCTGAATAGGACAAGGGAGCAAGCCTGAAATAATATGCTTCCTGAAAGCTGGGAGTTACAGCTGAAATGCTGATGTCAGCTTTGTATCAAAGAGACTTAGAATAGTCATTTTTAGTGCCAAGCTGATATTCAAATGTGACAGGGCAGGTAGTCTTTCTTGAGAGGATCCCTGGAGGAACAGAAAGGAGCTGAACTCCAGGAACCCAGTAATTCCTCTGGGAAATGAGGGTAGATGGAGAATATGGGGTAAGGGACTCATCTCCATTCTGAAACTTCTCTGGACTTGACAGAAATATGAATGGGATTTAAGTATTGTGCAAATCTTGGAAGAGTTTAATACAGAGCTAGAATGAATTCAGTTAGTGAATAT